TTTGTCCCAAACGACAGCCACAGATCACTACCCGCAATTAGATCAACGGTCCACAACAAGGTCGACAACCAGAATAGTCACAGCCAATAACCACACTCCATTTCTCGGCGTTTTTGATTGTTTTGGTGCTCGCCAAGCCAAGCCAAGCCAAGCCAATCGCCCCCACCACGAAAAACAATAAAACAAACCCTTCATTTCTCCTCACCATTTTCTTCTCTCCCAATTCTAAACATCGTTCTCCTCTCTGTCTCTGCAACCATGAGTAAGGGACCGGGACTCTTCTCCGACATCGGAAAGAAAGCCAAAGGTAATCGCCGATCTCCTCCCTTCTCCGTTTCTCTACTCTCTGATTCGAGTAGAAATTACGCTACCACAAATTGACTGTTCGAGTCATCGTTTTTATTGCATGTTTGATTCAATTCTTTAATATGCAGATCTCTTGACCAAGGATTATATCAACGATCAGAAATTCACCGTCTCCACTTACAGTGATGCCGGACTGGTACGTATTGCGCTTGTTTTTGTAATGCTTAGAGCTAAGGATTTGGTTGGTTGCTTAGATCTTCTATATTCGTGATTGATTTGGAAATGACATTACGATTATGATTAAGAGCAGCCTTCTTTTGAATGGATGGGAAATTGACCTTTTCTAGGAGGCTGTCATTAGTGCGAGTCCTTGTGGACATTTGAATAGGAATCTGCTCTGTTAGTTTATTTATTATTGCATAATTTCAAAAGGAATATGAGGCTTTAGCAGTCTCAGAAGTTTATGTTTCAAATGCTCAGCTTGGTAATTTCTTTGATGAGTATACCATCTCAAAAAAAACTACCTTAATTTATTTGATGAGTCTGAGAAGTTTATGTTTCAAATGCTCAGCTTGTTAATAGGGATTTGGAGTGAAGGGGTATCCATTTTATCTATTTGGTACTTGGTGTTCATGCAATTTCAATTGGTTTTAATGAATGTTTCGTGTAAAGTGGCTCACTTGTCACAGAAGTTTCTGGCTGAGATGGTATAAAAGTGTGCACATCCTGTAATTTAGAAGAAAATAATCCACCTTATTCCATTCCTCTTCCTAGGTTATGAATCAAATTTCTACTTTTGTTTTTTTTTGGTCATTCCTCCAACCAAACATGGCCTGTGTGTATTATGTAATTAAGTGGAACTGGACAAACTTAGTTGCAGCAATACAGAAATTAAGCTATTGGTAAATGATATTTGTAAGAAGCTTTAACTGATCAAACCAATGGCAGTATAAATCATGTGATCTTTCTTTCTTACATTCTTATTGCCTAGGCACCGTGAAGTGTTGAAGAGACTCTTTCATGCTTGTCTAGGCTTTAAAGAATACTGGCTTTAGCATTGCAATATGGTGATTTTCCCTAATATTGCTTAGATTTATTATGATTATATGGGAGAGAGGATTGGATTTCAAAGAAAGAGATTTAATTAAATCTGATGGCATGTGTTTTTTTGTTGAAATGCCATGCATTCTGTGTGGTTGACCCAATATCCTCTTTAAGTTACTACATTCAGCTAATCTTTTCTTACATTCCTTTTCTCCCCCTTCCATTTAGGGCCTGACATCAACGGCACTGAAGAGAGGAGGACTTTCAATTGGTGATGTCTCTGTCCTGTACAAGTACAAGAATGCTTTATTTGATGTCAAAGTCGATACAGAGTCTAATGTAGGTGGTTATTCCTTGGTTTGATAATTGTTAAACAACAAATTGCCTATAGCCATCTGACATTTAGACATTGTTTGGCCAGATCTCAACAACTTTCACATTCACTGAGATTCTTCCATCAACAAAGACTATTGCATCTTTCAAAGTTCCTGACTATAGTTCGGGACAGGTGGGATGTTGCATCTCTGAAGCTCAAGTTTATAACGATGATGATTGTGATGCCCTAGTGTATGTGTGTTGTTTATTTTACAGTTGGAGGTTCAGTATTTCCATGACCATGCAACTCTTACAACAGCAGTTGGAATGAACCAAACACCTGCTGTTGATGTCTCAGCTACCATTGGAACACCATTCATTGCTTTTGGTGCAGAGGCAGGTTATGACACCACTTCTGGAAGTTTTACAAAGTACACTGCTGGTATTAGTGTGTCAAAGCCAGATTCTTGTGCTTCAATAATTATGTAAGCATTTGACCGAAGCACATAATTCTCAAGTAATTTTAAGCAATTGGAAGACTAGGACTTTATTATCTGTTGTCTCTGATTTCTGTCTCACACTCAGGGGTGACAAGGGAGACAGTATAAAAGCATCTTACGTGCATCATTTGGACAAGCTGAAGAAGAGTGCTGCTGTAGCAGAGATCACTAGAAGGTTTTCCACAAATGAGAACACTTTTACAGTTGGAGGGTTATATACCATTGACCATCTGACAGTGGTTAAAGCTAAGCTCAACAATCATGGGAGGCTTGGGGCACTTTTGCAGCATGAGGTCATACCAAAGTCTTTGCTGACAATTTCTAGTGAGGTTGATACCAAGGCCTTGGACAAAAATCCTCGCTTTGGATTGTCCCTCGCTCTCAAACCCTGATTCTCTGCGATTATGTAGCACATGCTAGAACATGATGGCAAAATTTATTTTGGTGGCACTTAATGAGTGTCAATAAGTACCACAGATAAGGGATATTCATTTCTAGTTCTAGGTTCTTGACTGTGAACCATTTGTTTGCTGCTTAGGTTTTACCATGGTCTTCTGTTTCTATTATTGCAAATTCTTATGTAAGTTCTGGGCATTTTGACAACGGCACGTTAGAGTTCAGTTTGATTGATTGGAAACCGTATTCAGTGGTGCAAGTTACTTGTAGGAGACTGTTTTCCTGCACCTTGTGAAAATAATTTCCCACGGTGGATTTTGATGCTTCAGATTTCGAGTAATGATTTTTCAAAGATGCAGTACCATTTTTGGTGAATGACATTTATCTAAACGAGCAAATGTTGATTTTTCCCCTCATCGCAAGTGTTGTGGATGCTTGGTTATTTCTCAGAACAGAAGCTGAGCATTTACAACATAGATGTGCACACAAAATCCAAAATCAAAGAACCCAAAATACTTGAATCAAAGATTCATCAGGCATGTATTTGTTTGGCTAATTTCATAACGTTTTTTTTCTCCTTTAATAACGAATTAGGGTGTTCCGTCAATTTTAACCTTTTTTGTTTGGTTAATTTTGTAAGAACAAACTACGGCAGTCAGGAACAGTCAAAACCCAATGGCTCAAGGAAAATGATTTATAGAAAACATTTTTGTACCAATTTTTAATATCACATTTTGTATTATTTAAATAATTAATTTTTTTTATTCATGTCATTTAAATAATTTACTTTTTTTCATTCATTTTAAATCTGTGATATTGAATGTATACAATCATTTTAATGACATATAAAAATTATATAAAATAATGGTATAAAAAAATTATCCTATATCATTGCCATATGATAAAATTGCAGCAGAGAGTTTCAATTGCAAACTACAGTATGTACAAGGAATTTTCAGCCTGATGGCAAGACGAAATTTAGAGCCAAATGATAGGGCAACTGGAATTAGATCCAAAAATCCTATATCATCTATTCATTAGATGTTCTAAATACACACCTGCTGCATTTGGGAACATCCGGAAAAACTTTAAGGGAATGCAGACTGAAATGCACTCTCTTGCCATGAAAATAAGGGTGTTGTAAAGGCTGAAAAAGCAAGTAGTTTGGCCAAAAACAGAAGTACCAAATGAAATCGAAATGAAGAAACAATTAAATACGACACATTAAAGTTTTTGTAGGATCCTGAATCAAGCCAATTGGATGCTTCAAGAAATGCATACAAAAATCCCTAAATTTCGAACTCATATGATCACTTCCTTGAGTTTAATCATAGACATTATTGGAATGACACCCATGTCTCTAAAATTTCATCTAAATGTCACAATATAATCCAACCAACTCAAGCAAACACTTCACCCAGACAGTTCATTAAATGAGAACCAAAACCTCTGTTGCATCGCCACATCCAAGCAAATGTAATCAATACCATTAAGACACTCAAACTTTACTATTAATCGCAAGAAATTATTACTAAGAAGAACAAAAACCACTATTACTAGCAGTAAAGCAAAATTTTTTAGCATTTAACCAGCAGTAAGGCATCATCACAAGATCCACAAAACTAAAAATGAACCAAATCCATAACATATTACGGAACTCAAAAACATAACATACTAAAACCGAAACAGTTTCAAGCATCCCACGACAACATAAAACCTTAATCGACACTCTGCATGATATCCTCGGCAGTGAACTTGGTTCCCTTGTCCTTGTCTGCAGCTGAGCGTCCCTTGGCCTTGCGGTCGATAAGCGATTTCCGATCCTTATCCAGCCTGAGCTTGGTGATTATGACCTTGGATGGGTTAATACCGACGTTCACGGTCGACCCATTAACCTTCTCGCGAGTGATGCGCTCGATGTGGATAACCCATTTGCGACGGTACACCTGAACCACCTTACCTTCACGGCCCTTGTAGGACCCACGAACCACCTGCACTTCGTCGTCCTTGCGCACCGGCATCGATCGCACGTTGTACTTGGAACGCAGATCGGAGGATAGCGGCGCACTCATCAGCACCCGCCGGACGCTGGATGGGGCCGAGAAGTGGGCCTTACGGTTCTTGCGGCGGGAGGATGAAACCCTAGGGTTGAACTTCATTTTCGGCGTCGGCTGTCGTGACTACGAGCTAGGGTTTTCTGCTTCAAAGCCGGCGACATGGAGGAGAACATCACATTATATAGACCAGACCACTTGGGTTTGGTAAGAATGGGCTTAGAACATTGAGCATATTGGGTTGGGATACTTTTTATTTATAAACCCACTTAAAGGTAATAATAAGCCCAGTAAAGGCCAACAAAGGCCAACCTTTCTGCCTTTTTGAAGCCCACCTGATCTTGAAACTTTTGATTATTGACTGGGAATTTTTTAATATGTATCTTTAAAAGTTTAAAATTTAATTAATGCATATTTTATTTATTAAGTTATATTAACAATGAAGAAGTTGATATCAATTTTAATATCAATGTTATGTACTAACGTATATTAAATTAATTAGTTAATTACTAAGATTAAACTCAAATTTTAGTTTTTTTTTATGTAATTAAGTGATTAAAAAGTATATTAAATACATCTTTAATTTTAATACACAAATTGAAAAAACTCATACTTCTTTTATATTCCCAATTAAAATATTTTTTCAATTTAAGATATTTTTGACATTTTTTTTCCTATAAACCTCTAAATTATGCTTTGATATTTTAAAGGAAAATTTGCACTTACCCTATAGGTGGGTGCAAAAGTGTGCTTTTTTGTGGGTGCATCATTCTAAATGTGGATATAACATGTGCATAATTAAACCCCCTCCCCCAACTTGTGATGAAAACATTTTATTCACTCTCTTGTGATTCGAAATCTATGGATTTGTGATCAAAACCTCAAATTCTATATTATAAATTTATAAAAATGTATTGTTTTTAAAGTTTAAATGGTAAAATATAATTTTTTAATAAAAAAACCCTTTAATATAATGAATTTTTTATTAAAAATTAATATTATATATATTTCTAAACAATCTATAATTTGAAGGAAAAAATTTTTTTTTCAATGTGTTAGTAAAGATCGAAACTCCAATAAATAAATCCAAACGTACTAAAATGTGAAAGTACACTGCTAGATTTGAACGCCCGGATTTTAATACTTTGTAATTTAAAACATTTTAAATTAAAAAAATATATGTTTTTAAAAATTTATAATGTAAGTAACCTCCCTATGGGCCAGAGGGGACCCGGAGTGACGCTGCAATAAAGGCGAATTCCATTTTCTGAATGGCTACAGGACCATTGTCGAAATCTTACTCCTAGTTCCTTATTTAATATTCCACGAGCATGTGTTTTTACCTTCTTGATCTGGGTTATTTGGAACCATAGGAACTGTATCATGTATAGACAGGACTCATTGAATACTCAACACTTACTCCACTGTAGCGTTAACAAAATTGTGGAGTTTTGGTCCTCTATCAATCATCTGTCAGCCAACTCTACTAGAATTCCACGCCTCTTTAGTTGGACCCCTCCACCTCCAAATTGGATTAAGATTAACACAGATGGCTCTGTTATGGGTAACCCAGGACCTGCTGGTTGCGGAGGTATTCTTCGAGACTCACAAGGGCAGTGGATTATGAGATTTATAAGGAATATTGGTGATACTACTGTCCTTGCTGCTGAGCTTTGGGCCATCAGAGATGGCTTATCTATTGCTGTCAATCTCCAACTCCAGAAAGTTATTATCGAGTCCGACTGTCAGATTGCTATTAAACTTTTAACTGATGGTGTGAATAATTTTCACCCTCACAGTAATCTCATCATGGATTGCAAAATCCTTTTGAGCAATATTCATCAAGTACGGATCCAACACAGTCCTCGACAGTGTAATATGGCTGCAGATGCCCTGGCTAAGAAGGGTGTTGGTTCTTCTTTCCCTTCGTTTGATCTGTTATATGACTGCCCGCCTGATGTGGG